ATCACCATCTATTACTGGATCGGTAACTGATCCAGTAGTCCATACGGCGCTTTGAAAAGCAAACGATGTCCCTCGCTCGTGTAAAGGTACGAGATCGGCAATGATGTTCTTGGCTAAGCTGATGATACCTCCACCAGCAGAGCCCTGAACACTTCGCCCTACATATACTGTAGCAAAAGTTCTTCGATACAACAGCGACAGTTGATCCAACAGTAAAGAGGACAGGCGAAAGTATGACAAGATGCTTGCGACCAAAAGTTTCCGATGAAGACCAAAATGTAAGCTGGAATGCCGTTTTGTTGAGCAGGAAGGAGGTACCAGTCCAGAAAGCTTCAATGGCTGAACCTCTAAGATCTTGAGGCATAATCAACAAGTCTAAATACTATTAGAAGCAGACCATTTGCAGGGAGTCAGGCGTATAGGCAGGGCAATGAACAATGAGGTTCATTTAAGGCAGCGGCAAGAATCGCAATGCAAATGCCGTTGAAAGCAGTGTACAATAGAAAGCCAGCAGGAAGCCGTTGCTATTATTCTTGACATGTTTTAATGCTAACGGTGGACATGGCCAGTTTCTTTGCTCGTCCCGAGTGGCTTATGAAAAAGGTGACGAGCAATAAAGTGACACTAAGAAATTAGGCAGGATCTAGTGTTCAGGTTGAGGAGGTATTTAACCAAAAAAAAAAAAAAGGCTTGACGAACTTATGCACGCCAACAGATAGTTTTAGTGGTTTGATAAGAAAATGAATACCTAGTATGGATCAATCATCCATGATCCGTCTTCTAATGTACAGAGTAGTCCAACATTCATTCCACTTCCGAAGCATGCGAATTTTCTATTCTAGTTTCTTTTACTGGAAACCTCTTTTTACTTCTTTTTATTACTTCCCCATTTTTTGTTCTTTAACACTACTGTTGTAGTTTCTATATCGGACTGAGCACAGCGTACATTTACTTTAGATAGGGTTCATCCCCTCCTGTTGCTTTATTATAACTATGAACAAAATCCAACCATTGTTGGATAGCATGGTGTTATACTATTTCAATTTGCCAACATGGATGTATATGTCGAACAAGTTCCGGTGATTAAATCCAGTAAACCCCCTCTTTCCTTTAAATAAGTTAGGAGTAAGTAACTCTGGTCACTGGTGAGGAGACGTAAGTGTATGATGCGAAGGTTGTATTAAAAGCAAATATCTCCGCACCAGTGGGGAGGGCGGAGTGTATCTGCGTCCATTAGTATTCCAATCCTTACCCAAGAGACCTACCGACAACCACGATTGTTTTATTCCTCTCTCCTCAATCAGACCTCGGAATAGTTCAGAGGCTTCATTCTTCCGTAATCCACCACACGGAATCTATAGCTCAATTTGGTGATGTATCCCAGCCTCCACGGGAAACTTCACTGACTCGTGACCGAGTTACTATCCAGACAACTTAAAAAGGTAATGGTGACTTTAGGGCTTTGATGATCAGACAACAAGAGTCCAACGTCCGCGGCAGCCACGTGACCCCCCTCGCAAAACCCCCTCATGACAACCCCACAGTTTTTCTTCCCCGCTCGCAGGTTATCCATCAAAGGACAAATGCTCCAATTCCAAGGCAATTCGCTATGGAGGACGAGAGAACTTCCCCTGGGAAAGTGAGAAAGAAGTCTACTCCCGCCAACCGGAAGTCCCTGTCTTGCGAATATTGCAGCAGGTCTTTTGCGCGTCTGGAGCATCTCCAACGCCATCTCCGCACACGTTGAGTAACCCTGAAGACGTCCCAAATTGGCATCTGCCTCTGCGATGTGCACTGTGTTAATCGTTTACCTACAGATACGAAAGAAAAGCCCTTTTCATGTGACATATGCTCCAAATCTTTTGCAAGAAGGTGAACACACTTCGCGCCTCGAACACGTCTAATCCACGCTAATCCCGAGCTTTACTTGTCTGTAGCGATCTGCTCGTACGACATGAGCGACTAGTTCACCCAGCGGAAGCAGCAGCCAATCGCGAACACCGAAACAATAGTCATCATGATGTCCCTCAGACCCCGTCATCCATAATACAACCGACCCACCAAGAGTCGCGCATGCTAGAGCTTGCAGATGCCGTCCCAGTGCAAACACAACCAGTTCCGCAGCCCCCACCAGAGGTGCAGGTCCAACCTCCTCCAATAGTCGAAACAACTCATTTCAACCCATCCTGGGGGTACGATCTAAATCTGCTCTCTCATGCTGCTAGCCATGTGGCTCTTGAGGGCCAGCAAGAAAGCCTCGAGTCGATGCGTAAGCCCTCACAGAGCGTAGGCCCTCCCCAGCCGTTGTCTCAAATCCCGGAGAGAGCAATCACAGACAATTATGGTGTTGAGCCTTCTTTCCTGGATCTCACAGACCTAGGCGACCCCGTCCAAGACTTTACCGTCTTCTTGGAAAGCGTTGGCCTCTCCTCTGACTGGGACTCTGGCGTATTCTCGTCGGTGGAAGAGCCTATGCTGACGGCAAATATACCAATTGACTCGAAGCCGCCTATTCGTGAAAGTGCGAGGCTTGGTGCAGATATGATGGGCGATCCGCGTGGCCCAGCCGACGAGCCACCGTCCTTTTCTAATTTTGGATCTCGGCTACCGTCTCTACAGCCAGAGCCGCAAGACGTTGATGATCGTCTTGTATTTGGTGATGAAGGTCCGCGTCCAGCTTGGGATATTTCGAATACAGATCGTCAAGTCTTTCTTTCAAAACTTGAGGAATTTGCCTATATTCTCCCCAAGGGCTTCATCCCACCATCGAGACATGCTCTGTCACGCTTTTTCGCTGGCTACATAAACGGACTAAATGAACACCTCCCATTTCTCCATGTGCCGACACTTTCGGTTGCAAAATGCTCCCCTGAGCTCACTCTCGCATTAGCAGCCGCAGGATCTCATTACCGATTTGAAAACAATCGAGGAATCGAGCTTTTCCATGCCTCGAAAGCCATTCTTCTGCAGCGCCTCCAGAGAAGAGACAGCAAGCAAGTACAGTGCCCTTCGTGGAATTTTGTCTCTCCATCATCCGGTTTTCATGACTCGAGGGGCTCCTCTACCCCGTCAAATAATGCCAATAGCCCGTTTCAGCAACATCACATCCCGCATCCGATCGACTCGCCCTCGGGCTACGCACCCCAAGATTCGGACGCTCACATGGAAGTAATCAGAACATTCTTGCTGCTCACAGTGTTTGCTTCATGGGAAAGACATCCTGAGCTATTGCGGGAAATTCTTTCCCTTCAGAGCACACTGGCTCGACTTGTCAGAGAGCATGGACTTATTGAGCCACCTCCTAGTGCTGATCCCAACAACTGGGAAGACTGGGTACGAAGAGAAGGTAACAGGCGCACAAAGTTCATCGTATACTGCTTCTTTAATTTACACTCTATCATGTACAACATTCCCCCGTTGATCCTGAACGCAGAGTTGAAACTAAACATGCCATGCTCACACGACGTTTGGAAAGCCAACAACGCCAGCCAGTGGCGGCGGGTCATGCGTTCGCGACATGGGCCGGAAGTTTCATTCCAAGAAGCTTTCGCTAAGCTATTCGTCAAGTCCAATTTATCAAATTCATCGACACCCATATCACCGCTTGGGAATTATATTCTCATACATGCCCTTATCCAACAAATTTTCTTTGCCCGCCAGCTTTGTCTATCTGCACCAATGATGCAAGGCACTAGCCTGAGGCATGAAGATTTGTCCACCTTGGACAATTCTTTAAGTGCTTGGAAAGCATTGTGGAAGCGCACTCCAGAATCGAGCATTGACCCTCAAAACCCGGCAGGCCCAATAGCATTCACGTCGACTGCCCTTCTTGGGCTTGCCTATATCAGGTTGCATGTTGATTTAGGTCCTTGCCGCCGCCTCATTACCCAAGACCCGATTCAGATCGCCAGGGCTCTAGGTGAATCTCCGCCTGTAGCACGGAGCCCGCGCCTCATCATGGCTTTACTGCATTCTGCGCACGCACTTTCCATCCCGGTTCGCCTCGGGATAGACTTCGTAGCGCGGACCCATTCATTTTTCTGGAGTATTCAGCACTCCCTTTGTAGCCTGGAATGTGCATTTCTTTTAAGTCGTTGGTTACTTTCTATACCGGTGACGCAGGCTGAACAAAGACTGTCGGAGCATGAGCGAAAGTTGCTCTTGTGGATTAAGAGTATGATGGATGAGACTGACATGGCCGTTGATCCTCCAGGCGCACCTGATGTGGAATTTCTGGCTAATCCCTACAAGGCAAAGCAACTCAGCATTGCCATTGTACGAGTATGGGCGAGGACCTTCAAAGGGAATACAAGCTGGGCGATAGTGGACCTGGTCGGGTCGAGCTTGGAAGCTTATGCAGATCTTCTGGAAACGCAGCTCTGATTATCTATCTGGCTTGGTACACGCGCTAGCCGTTCGGGGAGATTGCGTTGGAATAAAGCGTTTAGCAGGGCTGGTAGCTAATCCGCGATAGCACCCGTCATGCCCTGTTAGCTACAAAACGCATGTGTCCCTGCTCTATTTGCCCATTGGCCGGTAATGTCTCTGGATGAACACCAGCCAGCACAAGGCGTCCGGTCTCCGCCAGTTATACCTTCTCCTGTTGCTAACCTGGTCATCAATAAAGGAGTTGGTGCTGCCCGAATCAGTAGTGGGATATGGCAGCTTGACTCTTGTGTTACTCTGGATGATATGTGATGTTATTATATACCCCCCATCACTTATTCTCTTCACCTCTTAATCATGTATATAATTGTAAGCTCTCGTTAAGGAGGCAGAAAATGTTGCGATATGATTATCACGCTTTGACACCAATGATTTGTTTCCTTTCACTTTACCCTTTCTCCTACATTTGCTCTCAGTCGCCCTTGAGAAAGTGATGATTGCACGCTTTATGTTCTCCCTTGTTTATTTTTGCCTGCCCTTAGAGGCTTGTCTCTATCAATAATGGTGTAACGCCTACGGAAGGTCTTTCAATTTGAATTAAATAGGCTTGTTCTATATACTCACTAGTCTCGGCACGTATATTTTAGCCATCTGTATTCGTTGCTTCGTTATATGATTCCCTCTCATCAGTTGGATCGTCTACCATGGCCTTTTGCAACGCTCGTTGGGACAAATCGCAAAGCAGACATTGACCTCTCAAGCTGAGCTATTTCCGATTCACCCGGTTGTGGCTGAGGGACTATGTCCTGTCCAGGAACTGGTTTAGAATAAGATAGAGAGCTTTGTCGGTGTCTAAGCCGACCTTCCTGTGGGGAAGTTGGAGTTGCCGAAATTCGACGTCTATGCGAGTTCACAGGTCGCAGCATAGAGGTCTGCTTGTCTATACCATCGTTCACTATGTAAAAATTGTAGGTCTGTGGTTCAGCTATGTCAGACACTGTGCACCAACTTAGTTCCCCCCCCCGAGCAAATTACCTTGGGAAACATATGTTTATCTATCAAGTGCATCCTGCGTTTCTGCGGCGTCGAGCATTTCCGCTCGCAATCTTCAATAAAACACCCGTACTATATCCGACCGAGCATTGTGAGCCAGAGCTTTGGGCTGTCAAACGAATTGCTCAACATCATAGAAACATACAGTCTTTTCTCCCCGGTCTTTTTTCGCGGCAATCAAAGGATCATGGTTCTCCTCAATATGTAGATTCAAGAAACGGTCAGTGGGAAAGTTCTTCCCACACGCTGTGCATCTGTTAACATGCGTTTGTTTGTAATGAACTTCGTAGTCATCATATGAGGGGAACGAGAGTGTCTCCCGATGCGGCGGCAGTGAGCATTGCATTACTTCTATCCCAGAATTGGCGGTGTCGGATAGATGTTTTCTGGGTCGTTCAACAGAAGTGATGGAAGATGCTGGCGACGAGGACCTTGAACCGGTCTCTGGAAGCTGGCCAACAGAGGAGGATCTAGAGATGCTCCGGGAGCGCTTGGACATGCTGGCTGTCTATTGCTCTTATAGTTCACTCGTCTGGTTGGGTGGATGTTATGCAAGCGTCTCCTGCAAGGCTCATTGGGTACCTATGTATCAGGTGTTCTCGCCGACTCTGCCAAGTATGTCCATCAAAATTCGTATTGGAATTATGATAGGTTTTATTCTGGTTTGTGTAAATCAAAGCTCGTGTGATCTCTGGAGGCACTATTCAAGAAGGAAGAGGATCTTGATATCATTGAAATCTCTCATCGAAACAGTGTCTGTAATGAATGAGCCATTACGTTCTGTCCTGTCCTATCCCGTATTGTACTGTAATCGGTTCCTGGACACGCACTAGCCACAGCCAAGCAAACCAATCACCGCTCCACGGAGCCACATCTCATCCGATTCAACGCCTGTCTTTTTCGGTCGCCGTCCAGAAGTTCCCGTGATATTGGGATTTTCTTTGCAACGAGCGGCTTGAACCCCTCGTTCTTCGTTCCTGCGCGTGGGAGACTATCTTCGTTCTATTACCATTTGGCGCCCCCATCTCGGTGCAATCACTCTCGACCTTTGCTTCCGACCAGCGCCAACCCACCCGTTCTGTATATACTACTGATGGATCGTTCACTACTCTCGTCGCCCGCAGACTTCCAGCCAGCCATACCCATCTGACGGGCGAAGTCGACGGTGGAGTGACAACGGGCTTCGTTTCACTCTTCCTGAGCATGGCGTCCGCGTTTCAGAATACGTGGCAGTCAGTATTCTCATATATTCTTCAGAAAAGAAATGAACCCGACTTTCTGAACCGCAATGTACAGGATTGCGCTCGACATCGAAAGAGAGCTTCTGAAGAGCCTTGCCGAGAAAGAGCCTACATTTGCTGAAATCTCGCATTACCTCTCTGAGTCAGTTTATCTCCATCCAGTCACTAGATGATTCGTCTCTCATGCGCATTGTTCTGACAATCTCCATTATCGCAGACTCCGCGCAGCTTGCCAGAATGCCATCCTCCAGGACTTCGATGCCGCTCGCTCCATCGACGTGGAAAGTCGCCTTTGGGATGCACATCTCAAAATTAACAATCGGTTTCGTAAATTACTCTCTCGCGTGAGTACTCGGGCTTTGGGAATCTCCCTCGATGAGACTCATCTAACTTACCACACACGCAACTTAGTTCCGCGAGCAAAACGGAAAGAAGAAGAAACCAGTAGAGCGACGAAAGCTTGAGAAACATTATCTCGAATTCATCAAAACAAGTCAGCGGTTCTATAGAGGATACATCCAGCAATTGTCGTCGCATTTCGGGGGAATTCCGGAGCTTGAAAACGTTGCGCGGAAATTCAGTTTTGACAGTGAGCAATCCCGCCCTCTCCCTCGTAAACTCCCTTACTCAGTCAACCCTTTGTGTTAGATTTATCTGCGGAGGATTCCACGGTACAACCGGTTGGGGACCTTCGAAAACGTATTCTGCAGTCATGTCATGCGACCCTTATCCGTCTAGGCGATCTCTCACGCTACCGCGAAACCGAACTGGTCGGCAAGGACCGAAATTGGGGTCCGGCCATAGGTTATTATGATCTTGCCACAGTGATATATCCAGCCTCTGGAGCCTCGCACAATCAATTGGCTGTCATTGCCCTCGCCGATGGTAACCACTTGCGGGCCACTTATCACCTCTATAGGGCACTAGCCGCCCAGGAACCTCATCCGTCTGCTAAGGGCAACCTAGAAATTGAGTTTAGGAAGGTTAGGAACCTGTGGGCTAAAAGAGAGCTGATTCGCCCCGAGGATGCTGGTATTCCTGGTAGAGCATTAGCTCCATGGTTTGTATATCTACATGCTCAGTGTTACAAAGGCACGGATTTTCCCGAGCATGAGGAGCTTGAAAATGAGGTATTGAATCAACTCGCTGTTGATTTGAAGGAGCGTTCCCTAGAGGGCACCTTACAGAAATTCTGTCTAGTCAATATCTCCGCAGAAGATTTTTCTAGGACACGCTCCAATGGTAAGTCTCCAAGTATGACGATTGCAAGAGCCGCTTTAACCTATGCTTCAGAAGAGTCCGTGTCAAATGCACGCCTCTTTTTCCAGCGTATCAATTTGAAAACCTTCTTTACATTACTTCAGATCCTATTGGCTGAAGTGGAGCGGTTCGCGGTCGAAGAATCAAACTATAAAGATGGAAAGAATGGTCCTGACAAGATCACTGCTGTTGCACGACGTGTTTTGCCTGCTCTTCGAAACTACAGCTCTTGGCTACTTACAGTGAACCATCAGTTAGTGGCTCATAAAGAGGAGAAAGACACACCTCTTTCTGTCCAAATAACTGAGTTCTGGAAAATATACGCCAACACACTGACTCTTCTCGCATCCACGTTCGATGTAGTCCTCCTTCCGGAGATAGACTATCTTTTGGAAGAAGATGAGGAGACTCTGTGTTTTGTGCCACTAAACACAGAGGCTACATCACGTAGATATTTGGATACAAGTGGCCGCCAAAAGCCTCGGATGAATGATCTAGGAGTGGAAAGGAATCATCCAAACATGGAGATGCTTTATCGAATTCGAGAATTCGTAATCGATGGGTTAGATATGGTTGTGAGCAATGTATGCAGCAATATTCTCCCTCTGTCTATTAGAATCGGCTGCTAATACGTTCTCTACCTTCAGAAAATCCCCATAGCTCTAGTCGACGATGGTGACAAAAAGACATTCATTTACAAGGAGGAAGGGCTTCCGTCTCAATTCTTTGCCAGTCCCTCAGGACATCACCATACGGTTTCCTCAGCGAGTATTGAACGGGAGGACATTCCACGAACAACACAAGACCCAACTTACGCTACCGATTCCAAAAGTGTTTTTGGGGGCTCTCAGTCAGCGTCGATGTCAGCCAGTATGCACCGCATTGTTGAGGGTGTGGAGCGTTTGGTTGAGTCGGACTGCTATGAAAATACCCCAGCGTTGCCGGAGCATCTCGTCTTTCCACAAAACAACGAGCAACCCAGCTCCAGCCATATCTTCAATCCTAGTACGGACTCAATATTCCGGGAAGAGAGCATTCCTGCTCGTCAGACCCCCATCGCTCCACCTGGGCTTGGCCACTCTATGGCAAATTCTGCTGCTCTAGCCAGGGTCCCATCATCACAGCCATACGCACCGCGACCCTCCCTCCCTGGTATCCCTAGTATATGGAACATGGGCCTCTCACCAGACGTTGGCGATGCATCTTCTCCCAGGACTCCACCAGGCCTTGGGCAACACCCAATTCAACATTCCGGTCATCTGATACCAGGAAGCATCGGTAGCCCAAGCCATCACCTATCCCAGGACTCAGCTATGAACGATCTCATACTTCGTCAGAGTCTAATGCACCAATCCCAGATGCAAAACCCTCTGAATGGATCCAGTTCCATATCCTCGTGGATACCCTCATCAAATCCCACCTCGCACCACCGTCTTTCTGGCTTGGGGTGGGACAACAGAGGGCTACTGGATGCTGCAAGCTCTCCGCCGCCCCTCGGTGCACCCAGCCAGCCCCTTTCAAGTGGCTTGGCCAATGCCTCGTGGGCAAATGATGCGTTCCTCGCTAACACGCTCTCCTCAGGCGCGGGTTACCCCAGCTCTGGATTCGGCGGCAGTCGCAAATCTGCCACCCAGTACGGTGCTATTGGTCAAACACCTCCCTGTGGACATGGAGGGTGACACTGATCTCTTGATGGTATGAGCATGGGGAACAAGTCTCCGAGAGTTTTTGAGATAAGAGGCATACACGCAGGAAACGCGGGTGCGAGCTTTGGTAACCTGGCTCCGATTTGTGAGCGTCGGAAGTGCAGTGGCGAGATTATGCAGCATCTCCCTTCGCTCCCATTGGTTAGTCCAGTTCATAGCATACCTATCAAATCCTGCTTTTCATCTGCAGGCTTGTGCACTGTCACATTTCCCGCGTGGGCTCATTGGCCATGCTGTCGTTAGACCGCTGGTATTAAAGATACAGCCATGTTCACTAGAGAAATATCGGGGATAGGCTGTATTCAATAAGCGCTCTACAACTTATTCGTGAAGTCGGAAAGGAGACCATATATTGCAGATTCATGCGTTCGCGGAATCGCATTCTGGTCATAGGGGCGAAGAGTCGGGATAAGGATTACGAGCCGAATTATAGTTACCCAGATTCATTTGGATTATCTCTTTCTTTTTAGCTGTCAGAGAGCTGTACCAATGAGACTATTCATTTAGAAACGATATCTCGAGACCTGGTGTCCAGTCTTACGAGCTGAATTCAAGCATAGATCGTTGAAGATGGTAATAGATTTATTTATGTATGTATACCGAACCAAATATGCGGATCATTAACTCGTTGTTGAGAACGTCATATCTGCAACTCCAGTCTATCACGTAAAATCATCAAGTAATGGGAGCGCAACTCTCAAGAAGATGTTGATGGAAAGAAGTCTAAGACGTTAAGTCAAAAGACAAGTGGGTATTAGAAGGTTGAATCCTAAAGAAAAAGAGAGTTCTTTGTCACTGCATGCTATCCTTGCAGCGCTGTTTAAGTGTTATGGATAGAAACGTGAATAATTTACGATCGGTTGGTGGGAGCGTAGGCCTTCTTGGGGAAGGGGAAGCTAAATCATTATGTCAGACAGTCATATTCTCAGAGAGGTGACGTGCAATCCGCCAAATGTACTAGCCAGCAAATGACGTCCGCTAGTGTTGGTGAAAAGCATTGGCTCGCAAAGGATGATCAGGGAATTACTTACGAAGGTCCCAACTCTTGGATGCTAAGGCTGGCGAGCCACTGGCCCATGTCCATGCTCTCTTCAAGAGACTTGCCTTGCACAACACCAGCACAGAAACCACCAGCGAAGGCATCACTGTAAGTCACATCAGTCATGCTTATGTTTTCGATGGAAAAGGCCCACTTACCCGGCGCCGTTGGTGTCGTTGATTTTGTCCTTAGCGATCTCAACCACGCTGAACTCCTTAACCTCAACTTCGCCGTTGGGCTTGACGGTAGCAGCTACGGTAGGGAGAGTACCCTGAGTCACAATGGCGACTCTGGGGCGGCTGGTGTTCTTCTTGGGCAGCTGAGCCAATTTCTTGGCGATCTCAACGACATCATCCGTACCCCATTGGTGGCTCTTGGAGTAAGCACGAGCCTCAGTCTCATTGCAGAAGGTGTAGTCGGTGTAGGGCAGCACACTGTCGAGCTGGTCCTTGAAGAACTCAGGGATGAAAGGGGCCGAAAGAGAGAGCATGAAGATCTAAGAGAGCGCACATTTAGTACTAATCCATTGAGAAGGAACATTTACATAGGGTGAATTCCGTAAGTCGTCAGAAATGCATACCTTGTTCTTTGCAGCAGCCTCTTCGCCAAGAGCCTGGATAGCGGGCACACACACAGTAAGGTGATAGCCACCAACGTAGTACACCTGAGCCTTCTCAACAAGAGACCAAATTTGAGGCTGCTTAAGATGCTCAATCTTGTACTCATTAGCCGCAGCAAGGTGGGTGCACATGCTACGGTTGTGGCCAGTGATGATCACGCCGCACTTGCCGGTAGGCTGGGCATCATCCACACGGTACTCGGTGTGCACACCAGCCTTGGTGCAGGTTTCCTTCAGGATATCGGCATACTTATCACGGCCGACACATCCAATGTAGAGAACAGAGTTGTCGGGGAGAATGTACTAACGGGTGACATTATAGTTAATATACGAATTATCAAAAAAAAAGAAGGGAAGATTTCAAACATAGTTCAGACCATACCTGAGCGCCACGGGCAGTGTTCTGGGCGGCACCACCGGCAATCAACTTAGCATCATGGTTCTGCAGCAGTTCCTCGTAGAGGCCCATGTGCTTATCCTCGGCGAGAATAGCATCGTTGTCCTTCAGACCATACTTCTGGAGAAGAGCAGCATCACTATACGGTACTGTATCAGTACATGTACTATATTTCAACAATATTTTCAATGGCGAAGGGCTGTAACATACCCAACAGCTTGGATATCTGTATATTACAATCGGAAAGGTACTTGCATTAGCATTGTCCCCAGATCACAATTTTTACAGCTTCTATCAAGCCAGATAGGATAATAGTCCTCACGTACCGAGGAGAGGGTTCTCCAAGCAAAGAAAAGGGTATCCTTGAGCGGCAGCCATTGTCGTTTATGTCAACAAGGGAAAGTGCGTGTAAAGAAAGGATGAGTAGAGGAGACGGGTGGAGAGGAAGTAAAAAGGTCAAGAAAGAAAATCTCTAAGGGGAGGAAGAAGAGGAGAAGGTGAGGGTGAGAATGCAAGAAAAGGTGGGGGAGGGATGATGGTCCGGAGGGGCAGCAACAGAAAGAAGACCCGGATCATATGCCGTACCGTACTGTACGGAGCGTATTGCATCGCATCAGGGGAGTGCAAGTCCCTGATGTCCGTCTGCAACTCTCCATACTACAAACACCTCTTTTCCTGTTATCATCGCATAACTTACAGCGTTCATCTTCCACAATGACTGATCCAGCCCTAGGAATCGCTGAGGCCATTCAAACGGCCTCTATCAACCCGGAACCATCCCCAAGTCATGACATCAATCCTCCGACCGCATTTTCGGAGAAGAAGCCTGTCGCTGAAGATGCGCTATCCGAGGCTGGCAGCATCCCATCCGACGTCGTGGACCCCCATCGAATGATCAGACCCGCTCCAAGGCGGCATAATCTTCCTCCAATGCCTGATTTGCGCTTCGAACAAAGCTATCTGGCCAGCATACGGGGTGCTGAGACTTGGGGTCGTGTTGCATGGATCACCGTTCGAGATCAGGTATGCCTCCGACCTACTTTTACAATAAATAAAGGGATAAAATAAAATAAAAGCTCTCAAAACAAACACTTAAGGCTCATGCACCTATGTTCTTTTTTAGGTTCTTCTCCCTCTGATCCAAGGTACCCTCTGGACCCTCGCTCTCTCCGGTTGGCGATTCTGGAACCGCAACGCGTCTCTCAGTGGCCAGACATTGGGCAGCAGACTTCGACGATGGTGGTACGAAGTAAATAACTGGAAACTCCCTCCCCTCCCGTCAATGAAGGACCGTAAGCTTGCTGCACAGGCAGAAGACGTGAGTGACCCCCTGCCCTGTTCCTGTTATCTGATCTGATAGTGTAGCTGTGTTCAGCTCGAGTAACGTAACTATTCTGATTGAAGCTGACATTCTCGGAGTTCTTACAGTTCTATAAGACTCAGTTCTCAAACGCCGGTGCCGACTAACTGATTAAAATAAAGTGCGATTTTCCCGGATTTTGGTTGCATTTTAGGAGTTCAGGTTACGGCGTTACGAATATAGATCACTTCGATGGTCTATCTGTATCTTATGTTTCTTAAGCCCACGGGTGCGCACATTCATGCACAGTTGGTTAAACTCTTGTAGACATTTCAATGGAGCTCTTCTCTTAGTAAAAATGTTATCGTAGGACATTCATATAAAGGCCAACCTGCTGTCTAGAAGTCGCTAAAACTCATGACCACGACCTACTTGCAGGCTAGCACGGACTTTTCCTCGGACACTAAACAGACAAATTACCACCACATAAACGCCTTGGGAGACTCCATTGTCTTGCTCGCGTGTACAATAGAACACGAGTGAGAAGATACGCTCCAGCATGAACTCTCTCAATATAGCCGCTCATTCAACGCCCGGGAGTACGTGGCTTCAAATGCTTTGAACCCCCTCGTTTGAACCAGCAGCAGGCGCCGGTTGACAGGGATGTGACCCGGTGCTCATAGTGACCCGAGCAGCTTCAGCACCTCCCTCGGGCTGGCCGTTTGCCTCATTTCGGAGGTCAGTCTTTTGCCCCTGAGGTCCATCCTCCCCTATCGTAGAAACGGTTGGCTTCGTTGCGTCTGATGATGGTATATATTCCGGAGGCGCAGGTTCAATCGCTATTTCCAGTTTATTCCCCACGCTCCCCCCTGATAACATGTCACTAGGACCATTGGGGCTGCTCGGCACCTTCCCCTTACCGTATCTGAGCTGCACAACCAGGCTCGGGTTTTCTCCGTTCACTATCGACTCGTCACCACTCAACTCTTCTTCATCGTCACCTTCGAAATCGTTATCTTCTTCCTCTTCTCCACCCTGCCACTCCTTTCCGCTGGAGTGTCCCTCATCAGATTCATCCAGTTCGTCATCCACGTTGTAGCCGGTATATCCATTTGCTCGGGTAGACCGTGTCCTCTGAGGCCTCCCCGAGTCTTCTGCATCAGCTGGCTCATCACGCTGGCCACTGAGCAAACTTTCCCCATACATTCCTCCTGCGCGCGAACGTATCTGCCTTCCACTAGCGGTAAACCTGGGACCCACAGGTTCTGCGGGTGAAGAAATGCCTGAGGTGTTGCGTGTGGATCGTCGAGTCGAAGGCAAGCCATCGGAAAAGATATCCTCATCATCAGAGTATGTGTACTTCAGTTTCTTCCCACGGGTACGGCCTTCATAAAGAGAAAATCCAGGCTCGGGCCTAGAAAATTGTGCTTTACGCGCAATGCGGTAGTCTCTGCGTTTACGTTTCTTACAACTAATGAGCAAGGGTAAGACGGCAGCGGAGGATCATAACTTACCTCTTCCGAGCCCTCGAAGCGAGGAACTGAATTCTTGATCTTCTCGCTGAGCTTCTTCGAATGCGTGCTTTTCTCCTCATCTAGTTTGTCTGCAACCGCCTTCAACTCGGGGATCGTTCCTGCCACGCTCCACCAAGTGACATTCTTGAGCGCTGGGTTGCTCTCACGGTACAACCTAAAGTGGGTGTCATCTAAGCCTTCGACAAGCCAATATCGACGCTTCAAGCCATCGCGACCCCATGGTTGAACGGAAAGTGGTTGGTTCAGGTCGTCTTCATGTCGTGCTTGCTTGTATGACTCTTTGATCTTTGCTTGAATCGCTTCGGAGGAGGAAAGGGACCAGAGGATCAGCGATTTCAGTAATCGTAACTACAGCGTGTTAGCTATCTAGTGTATTTCATATAAGTTGCGCAGGACGTACGCGTTCTTCTGGGGCCATTCCTGTGAAAGTGCGACCCCCGTGAAGAGGGTTCTTTCCCTGCCAAGCCTTGGGCCACTGGGACACATGGGTTTGGATCGCTTCTTCCAGAGGGCGTGTGTAATGAAGTCGACTGCGCATTCATGATAGCTAGTCAGCCTTTTGTCATTATCCTTGAACATCCTGGTTGTAGATAAAGGGGAGCTCGCATGCGCCCTTCGTAGTGTAGTGGGAACTGCGTGATAGGTGGTATTCATACTCCACGTCCTTCTTCCTGTTTAACACCAGGCCAAGCAATGCACACAGCAATCTCTCAATGTGCTCCCCGGGAGGCGAGTCTGCAACGCCTCTCTCGATGTCTTGTGGTCCGTAATGTGGCGTCGATCGTGGGAAGACATCATGAAAACGCGCGCGGAACATTACAATGAACTTTTAGTTGCGACTAGTCAGCAAACATGGTCACAAGTCCATATACGCGTCATATAAACGTGTAGGATTTTATAGGGTCAGCAATTGATGGATAGCTCACTGCAATGTCCGGGTTATCTGCTAAAACATATTCATGTGGTGGTGAAGGTGCCCGTTTCGGCGGCGGAGATTCTGATTCCTTCTTGAAGTACTTGGTGATGCCCACAGGCTCATCAACTGCCATGGGAGCAGACTCATCATCCGATGGTGGCGCTGATGATAGCGACGAGAGATCCGAGTCAGAAAGTGACATGTTAGACATGTTTGCTGAAGTTGGAAGTGGTTGTGTTGAAGAGGAACGGAGGTGGGCGAGTGCGCGCCGCAAGAAGTTCTACTGCACTACGACTGCCGATTAATGGAGCGCGGCTTTTACGCGCCTGGCCTGTCTGGCGTCATCAATGGCCACCAATATCAAGGTATGCTCACAACCCGATCACAGCAATGTATTCTCTAACATTCAATTTTATTCTGGGCTACATCTAGAGTACTGAACAGGGGATTGAGCATTGATGACCTCATAATGTGAACCTGAGACGCTGTATGAGACAGCGTATGATCATTTCGTAGAAAACATGGAGGACCAAATGACAAATCAGTTTTTTTGAAAGAGAGCTAGCAATGAGCGATCCCATTGAGAACTTGTCATCTAACGTCAGTTTACTCCGTACAGAAGGCTGGACAATGAACACGGCGCTAGCTCCTTACTGTGGCCGGGAGATGCCAAGGATCAAAGCGATTACCATGAGTCACATATCAGATTCATTGATCTGCTCGTTCAATTGCTTTTCTTCCTATGCAGCGGATGCCAGTGTAGGATTGATTCAAGCGACCACTGTTGCAGTGTCTCGGGCGTCATCAGACAACTTTCCGCGTTGTGGTAGCTGTGAACCAAGGCTCTGTGGTACTCCAAATTCGGGAATTGTATTCTTTCCCAACCTCTCAAAGGCTGTTGAGGGGTATATTGCTTTTGTCAACCCATCTCCATGTAGACCTCACTTAATCATGCACGGAGCGGAGCAATGAAGGTCGAAGACCATTAATGCAGTCAAGCAGCAATACTACCCAACAATGTCAATCGATGACAGGAATCCTAACCGGCGTAGATAGAACCATCATCAAAAGACTGTTTCACCACGATATACTCGTAGAGGTAGGTATGTGATTGGCGGAGGTCGTGTATTGCAACACGCCTAGTGGTCACCGAGTGCAGCTAACAGAGTAGCCTAACAAAATCAGATTAAGAAATTGGAGGTCTAGCCTTTGACTGGATTATCGGATTGTTGTACCAGTTGTGCTTATCAAACAAGTCAGCCACCTAGGTGGTCGCATGAACTGTTACTCCGTCAGAATGCTCGGTTGTTCTTAAAGTCCATGGTTAATGTGACGGTTAGCCGCGCCGCCAAACCCACAGCCGCGCGAGAGAGGCGCACGGAGACGCTAGTCCCAGCTCGGTTAGATTAGCGACCGCGCCCTAAAGCCCACACAGCCCTTCCGCCGACGAATTCTCACCACCAACCCGACAAGCCCATCTTCGATTTGAGGTACGAGCACTTGATAAACTCCCACACCGGGTCGCAGGGGTCTTTCTTCTTGTATACTAACCTCCAGGTCTCTATCCAGATAGTCGCCATGGGTCGCGTGATCCGCAACCAGAGGAAGGGTCGTGGATCCATTTTCAGTGAGTGCGACCGCAGAGTTGAGCGAATTCCTGAAGACCAAAATTGCTGATAACAACTTCGCCTCCAGCGGCCAACACCCGTCTCAACAAGACCCCTGCTCAGTTCCGTGTCCTTGACTTCGCTGAGCGCCATGGATACACCCGGGGTGTTGTGAAGGAGATCATCCACGACCCCGGCCGTGGTGCTCCTCTCGCTAAGGTCCAGTTCCGTCACCCTTACAAGTTCAAGCACGTTACCGAGACCTTCATCGCCAACGAGGGCATGTACACTGGCCAGTTCATCTACGCCGGAAAGAACGCCGCCCTGACCGTCGGCAACGTCCTTCCTCTTTCCTCCGTCCCTGAGGGTACCGTCGTCACCAACGTCGAGGAGAAGTCTGGTGACCGTGGTGCTCTTGGTCGTACCTCCGGTAACTACGTTACCGTCATTGGCCACAACCCTGAGGATGGCAAGACCAGAATCAAGCTTCCTAGCGGTGCCAAGAAGGTTGTGAAGAGCACCTCTCGTGGTATGGTCGGTATCGTTGCTGGTGGTGGTCGTACCGACAAGCCTTTGCTCAGTATGTCTTGGATCCTGTTGATTGCCTTGAATTTTCCAAGAAAAAAAAAATAAATAAATTGGGGTAAATGGGAATTGAATACTAATATCACATTACAGAGGCTTCTCGTGCCAAGCACAAGTTCGCTGTCAAGCGCAACTCCTGGCCCAAGACTCGTGGTGTTGCCATGAACCCCGTTGATCACGTAAGGAATCCTTGTCTTCTGCTTGTGAAAAACTTATTCTCTGACCTATCTGTTTTATAGCCTCACGGTGGTGGTAACCACCAGCATATTGGTAAGGCTTCTACCATCTCCCGCTACGCCGCCCACGGTCAAAAAGCCGGTCTTATCGCTGCCCGGAGAACCGGTCTGCTCCGTGGTACCCAGAAGACCAAGGACTAAGGGTTTTATGGTGTGGAGTTTTTTTGTTTGTGACGGGTTCAAAATGCTCTTTTGCTATGAGGCACATGTACTTAGGCGACTGCGGATAACCTACCACGCGTCCTTAGCGAAATAAGGTTGTGGCCAACAATTTCATTGATGATTAAAACAAAAAGAGGGGGCCAGAAATCGAGTCTCTATGTGCATCTCATAGCATTTGCCAAAAACCGATTATGAATACTCGTTAATACCAAAAAATGAAGAATATTTCCTTGTTTGTTCATGGCGGACTGATTTCCTTACTCTGTATATTTTGTTCAGTCCTTGTAGGTTTCATATACCCCCAAGCCTAGTGCTCCGCTTTCTTGAATCTGTCATCTGTTTATCTGAGAGCACTAGGCATGATCCACTTGTTGCGCTTCTACTATGTAGTTCATGTTGTTCCATGATTGCTATGTTCGAGATTCAATTCGGTGCATTTATGGCGTGGTCTTGGCGCTGCTATTACGGGGAAGTGGGCATAATCTATTTATCCATGGGGTAATGAATGATACAGTAAGTCATGCGGTCTCTGCACTCCGGGTTGTATATAAATTCGCATTGGTCTTAAGCACTTGCGTGTCGAATGAGTTTCTCGGTATATCCATACACAGTATGCCGGATGGTTTGTACGCCCGAAGGTTTCTGGAGGCAAAAAAGGATTGATATTAAATTGACCAATCAGCGGCGCCATATGGATGTCACTGGCACTTCAAGTTCATAAACCAAGCGTACCCCCCAGAGAACAGACTTTCTTCGAACAAGTATCCTCCATGAATTGTCTCATCGTCCCATAAACCTATACAAGGGCATATAACTCATCTTACGTGATGAATCAGGAGAATCTACCCCTGGAACTACCTCGTCTGCCCGCCTGTGCCTCGCCGACCCTGTCCGCCACCGCCCGCTGGCAGGCAGTGGTCCGCCGAGATGCCACAGCCGAATCATTTGTGTACGCTGTGTTAACGACCAAGATATATTGCCGGCCATCATGTCCAGCTCGTCTCGCCCGGCGAGCAAATGTCCAATTTTACGACACGCCCTCGCTGGCCGAAAAGGCAGGTTTCAGACCCTGCAAGCGCTGCAAACCACAATCCCTGCGGGCGGGTAATCCTCAGGTTCAAGTGATACAGAGGGCATGTAAAACCATCCAGTCAGAGATAGCGTCCGGCTCCAAACCGACACTGCGGGAACTGGCTAGTCAGGCATGCCTCACGCCAAGTCACTTCCATCGGGTGTTCAAAAAGCTTGTGGGCGTCACGCCCGGGCAATATGCTGTTGCCATTCTCAAAGTCGCCCCTAGGGGCCCCCTGGATGACTGCAGCCAAAATACGAGTATTACGGAATTGAAACCATGCGGTGTTCGTCCTGATGACCATGCGCCATTTTTATCCAGCGGCTTGAAGAGTGACGATGTGTTCGATCCTGGAGATATTATAAACTGGAATGATTTTGACACTTTGATAGCCACGGAAGCTGCGTATGAGGCTGAATTTGATGTACAATTTATGGACTTCATCTCATTACCCAAGGAAGATGCCGTAGGTGCCACTGAGCACTATGGCCAAGATATTGGTGATGCCCTACTGCAACACGAACAAACAAGTCGCCTAGACGGCGGCATTCACCTCACAGGTGTGGAGACTGCCATGCCATCCTGAAATAGTGGCTTGCTTCTTGACAGGCAGGGCTTCATGAGATACTGGATGATCCCTGCATAGGGGGTCCGCTTGGCGCAACCAGGACGGTGGTTAGGCCGTGTTTGTTCTGCTGAATACCTGTCCATTGATCCGTGGAAAAGGAGAAAAACTGAAGTAGGAGGAGAACAGATGTACTAAATAACCTGGATTCAGTATGGGCTAATCGCTCCACTCTCCCAGGGGTCCTCAGGAGTCAGATGGTCAACCTGAAGTAGATGGGTAGAGCTGGGCCACCATGGAGTCAGTGCTTCTGGAGAACTGATATGCTTCGCCGATCATCAACCCCGACCTCTCCATTACAGGTGAATTGCAGGTTGTATTGAAAAGTATGGACTTGGTGTACTGTGTATTGAGATGAAATCTACCCACTCAAATACGGAGTAGTTCGCCTTTTTTTATATCACTTTTGCACCAGGATCTGCAAGAGTATCCCACCGGGGCTTCTAGACTTTTCCTCAGAAAAACATCAAATGGAGTTTCATGTACTCCGTATGGAGAGGGTGGTCTAGTGCTACAGGCTAACACCCTTCAGTTTACATGACTTAAATTGCCGAACGGCCATGCTAATACAGCACATGATAGTACAGACTAGATTTAGTTGTGTAATATTACATCAATTGTTCGATGAAGGTATACAGATGTACCCCTTTTAGACTACTCTAGATATGGTAGTTCTGGAGAAACACCGGCGGGCTAGAGAATCTGCACTGTTCCGAAAATAGTTCAGTGGCAACGTTTGAAGAAGACTGGCAATCTGAGCAGAGAGTTGTGGCATCGCATCCCCACTCCTTGCCCCACAAAAACGCGTGTCACCTGTTGCAGTTGAATCAAACTGGCCTATGAGGCTTCATTGTGTGATACACTCTAGTCGCAGATAATAATAATAGACTTCAAACCATCCATCCAACAGGCTAAGGTTTCAGGTACACCTAACTTTCCTCGCCATATACACAGAACATGAACATTGAAGCTAACAATTGGTGCCAATCATATGGGCAACCGTCCCCACCTTTAATAACAGTAAATAACTACGTAATTTATTAGTAGTTATACAAGAATCACTTACCAAGTTATTTTACCCTCAAGGGTCTAGACATACGAGTACGACGGAACCCGGTGGAGACTGCAAGGTATTGTATGGTAAAGGCAAAGTCAATCCAATGTGATCCATGTGGCGTTTCTGCTCCCTCAAATCCATGTTTTTGTCAATGCCCATGAGTAGCATTGTTGTTCTCTATCAAGGGTAAAAAAAAAAAGTATCTTTGTAATTTGTCGGTGGTAAACTGAAACAAATAGAGGAATTAAAATCGATTAAAACAAAAATAAATTACCGCCATTGAATCATGAGAGTCATAACAAGTAAACAGTACTGTGTAGTAGTAACATTCCATCAGTCTTTAATCCCTGCGCATCCTCTCACCCACTTGGTGTTTCGCATCCTTTCTTTCCCCCTTCCCCTTCCCCCCCCCCCCTTCCCCCTCTGTCTCCCTCCCCCTTTCTTTTACTACAGGCCAAGTCTTTGTACATCGATTGAAATTCGCTATATTCTCTTCACTATTCTCCTCATACATCACCGCGGGGAAGGTCATTTTGAAGGTCGCGTGCCCATCTGCGCTTGGCCGTTCTTTTCCTCTTTCTTTTCTTTCTGCCAATCTGCTGGCCAGATCAATATAGCTTTATCTCCAATTCCTTTTAGCTTCTCTACCAATCGTCTAATTCTATCGCCTACTATACTCGGCCACCATGAACGTCAACAGAAAGTTTGATCGCTTCAAGCAATGGGCGGGAGAGAGGATGGGTGGTGAGGTCAAAACCAATCTCTCGGATGATTTCAAAGCCATGGAGACAGAAATGGGCGTGCGGAACGAGGGTGAGTCCGCCGATATATACTAAAGCTAAAAGGATTCGTTTAATGGCTGACTTTTCGACAAGGTCTTGATCGCCTTCATAAGTCCATGATTGCCTACGTCAAAGCCGTCTCGAAGCGCAGCGAAGGCGATGACAAAGAGAAGACATTGCCCGTCGGTCATTTGGGCACTAGCATGGTCAGCCATGGCGAGGACTATGACGCCAATTCCGAGTACGGCCGTTGCCTGACAAGTATGTTATCACTCGTGACACTTCCTCGATCTCCCGGACATCCACGTGTCTAACTATTATATTTCCTATTGCACAGAGTTCGGACGGACAGAGGAGCGCATTGCTCGCCTCCAGGAGTCGTATATCGCAGAGGCGAACTCAAGCTGGCTTGAGTCCCTGGACCGGTCCTTGGCGCAGATGAAGCAGTACCAGGTAAATTCCTCACAATTACTAGATATCGCCGCGACATGTCTAATATATTATATAGAATGCCCGCAGGAAACTCGACAGCCGGCGGTTGGCTTTTGACACTTCACTGTCCAAAATGCAGAAGGCAAAGAAGGAGGATTTTCGCGCAGAGGAAGAACTTCGAACCCAAAAGGCTAAATATGAGGAGGCCAACGATGATGTATACCGGCGGATGCAGGACATCAAAGAAAGTGAAGTAGAGAGTATTGCAGATTTGGAAACATTTTTGGAAGCGCAATTGAACTACCACGAGAAGTGCAGAGAAGTGCTTCTCCAACTCAAGAATGATTGGCCTGGCCGGTGAGTATCTGTCCATGCAAAAAAACGTCTCCCACAGTTGTGTTAATTATTCTATGACAGGCAATCTCAGATACAAAGCTCGAGTGGCCGGCGCCCTGGCCGTGCCCGTGCTAGCACAGCCCATTCGTATCAGGAGCGCTACGAACCCCTGCATGAGGAACTTAGTAACTCAGCAGATCTGCGCCCCATTATTCGGTCAAACAGGTCTCCGTCCGATGTGGAGGACCCGAGAGAAGTCTATGCCCCAGAGCCTGTACCGCAGAGACCTTTCCTCAATAGGACTTCAACGTTCGAAAGTCCAGCACAATTACGACAGGAACAAGCATACAGCCCAGGTCCTCGACCATATAGAGTGCCTAGCGAGAATTTTATTACCGGCAGGAACAGTGTTCTGACTCGGATGGCCGCCGATCCGTCTGAGGACACCAGCTCGCGATCTGGCACTAGCCCCGATAGAATGTACCAGGGACGGTCTGATTCCCCGGTATCATCATTCGGGGGTGTCACGAGAAGAAGCAGTTCGACTACATTGAACGGGGCTGCGGTACAGAAAAAGGCACCTCCACCCCCTCCACCTTCGCGCGCGAAGAAGCCGCCACCGCCGCCACCGCCTATGAAAAAGCCTATACTCAGTGCTGGCGAGGCATAGGCTCGCCTTACCATTAATCATCCCTAGGATTTCTGGGGGTTTGTGGTGGATAGATCAAAATGGGGTGTCATGGCATTTTTTTTCATCTTGCGAGGCTTTTGAGATCATAGCTACTATCTGCTTGCCTGCGGTGAGTGGCAGTAGATGATCAGTTTACTATTGATGATAGTCATTGGCGTGTAGTAGTATGCGGCAGCATTTGTATTTGTAATCGTGCAGAGATGCTCTCAATATGGTTTTGTTTATATTCAGAATGAACCATGTTCTCCACTGATGCATAAATATCTTCTGCGTATATATAAATTCATCTCGTCGACGTGTCGAAGTTCTAGTATACAGATATGAGCAGGTAACGATTTGATGTAATGGGGGGGTTGAGTCTATGTGGGATCTGATGGAATTAAGAAGGGTGTTATAAATATATCTCTGTTGGTCTCGATATCCATTCACCTCCAAAGACCCGACAACTTGAACCCAGCTTACGTTGAATTCCTCTGGATAGCCGATTAATCTACGAGGTAGGTGCTCGCCCGTGAGCCCGTTTGATGGCCATTCGGTCCAGTTAGGATTGGGCTGTAGTAGATGTGGTTTGGTTAGCATAGAAAGAATCCAAATGCAAGTCTCACTTTATATATATTCTGCCGCAGCCTTAGTACCCTGGAATTGAGCCAAGAAGCCCATTTAGCAAATACCCCAATGGATGACCATCTAGTATGAGCATACGGCCATATTCCCGGATAGAGTTGTTTTATTGCTGGTCTTGCTAATACCTAAGCCATCAGAGATGGCTTGGTTTCAAGGTTGTTGTTAGGGACGTGATGGACTAGTCCAAACTAAGGATAGCTGAAGCTCAAATTAGTAAATAACCGGCGTCTTCCTATTTGCCTCCTCAAAATCCGAATACGACCCGGCGGGATGGATGAGTCAGCACAGCATCACGTGCGGGCGGCACGAAATCTTCTTCCAACGTCTCGCCGCCTACCTCTCCTCGTTACAGGCAAAGGCTGAGCACAGCCAGTTTCCCCGACCAGCACGGAAAGTCGCGAAAGCCCCGTCCCCTCCATCTCCATTTCATCCATACAGGCCTTCCACGCGCCCTTTTCAGCGCGACCCCTCCATTTGGGGTCTCCATCACCCATTTAGCATCGCGTTGGGCCACCCCCCCTTCCCTTATTACTGATTCTTTCCGATCGGTCGCCTACCGCCCTGTATCTTCCCATCCCAAAACATCACGAAACTTGTCGCCAAGGTCCAGATACAGGCCGCTATCAGTCGCATCCATCGATACAAGGCTCCCGCTCCTCCTCCACGTCTATAAATTGGCGCGCTTCATCGCCCTATAGCTGCGAATTATCGTTCACCCTAACTACACTCGTTTTCCACGTGTTCCCCTAGCTGCTTGGTCGCGGATCTTGTCGCATCTAGGTCAACCCCAACGTGTTTACTCCGCCTATGAACAGTAAAACCACGCGCTAAAACATGGCTTCCCTTCAGTCAGCACCAAACATGGCGACTGGGAACATGAGCCTGCCGCCAAATTTGACGCAGCAGCATATTCAAGAGGTTTTTCAGGTACGTCGCCTGGTCAATTCTTCGCTCTAGGCTCCCACGCCCTACTTATCGTTTTGTTTCCTTCTTTCCTCTCCCTTGTCAATTGTTTGGCAATGCCACCTTCAATTGATTTCTCTGACATTCGCATAGAAGTACAAGCAGATGCAAGAGCAAGGTGTCCGCCATGATGACCCCGAGTTCCTGAAAGCCCAGCACCTTCTCTCGGCCGTTCAGCGACAGCAGTTCTTCCAGAAGCAAAGACAAGTTGCACAACAGCAGCTTCAGGCACAACAGCGTCAACAAATGAATGGCACCGGTCCTGACTCTGCCGCCATCAATGGTGTGAATGGTAAGCCCGCCGCTTTTAAGTCTTTCTCCGTGCACTGGCTAGATTCCTTGTCTAACCGTGTCATTGGCAACCCAGGTCGAACGAACTCAGTGTCTTCCGGTACTAGCGCCGTTCAGGATGGCACTTCCACCCAAGCAGGTAGTCAGCAGCAAGCTCTAGGGCAGGCTGCCTCTCAGAAAGGAGCACCTGTTGCTAGTGGTAGTTTTTCGGCTGAGCAGCTGGCCACGCTTAGAAATCAGATTGTCGCTTTCAAGTGGCTGTCAAAGAATCTCTCAATCCCAGCTCGTGTTCAGGAACAACTGTTCGCATCTAAGAAACAGCAAACCCCCGCGCCCTCAGATAATGTGACGGCAGCAGAGAGCGTCATAGAAAGCGTATCTCAAAACAAGACCGAACAGCTTGCTAGTACGACGGAAGCTCCCCCCCAATCTAAAGATTTCTATGAAACTTTTCAATCGCCCTATGATTCAGTTCCCAAAACCATCAGCTTTTCCGACCACGCCTCTCGCGCATATCGTACGCGCATCCCTGCCTTGATGCCACCTGGTATTGATTTGGAACAGGTGCGCGAGGAAAGAGAGCTGGTTCTGTATAATAAGATCAACGCCCGGAAAGCGGAATTGGCTGAGCTGCCTGCTAATATAGGCGTATGGGATACAAGCCGGAGCGATACCCCAACAGGTGATGACTCGTTGAAGTTGAAGGCCCTCATTGAATACAAGATGCTCAATCTCCTTCCTAAGCAACGGATGTTCCGAAAACAAATACAGAACGAGATGTTTCACTTCGATAATCTAGGAATGACCGCAAACCGCTCTAATCATCGCCGTATGAAGAAGCAGTCATTGCGTGAGGCTAGAATTACTGAGAAGTTAGAGAAACAACAGCGTGATGCCCGTGAGACCAGAGAGAAGAGGAAGCAATACGATCAACTCCAAGCCATCCTTAACCACGGCGCTGAGCTCCAGAATGCTGCAAATCAGCAGCGTACCCGTATGCAGAAACTGGGTCGTATGATGCTTCAACACCACCAGCACATGGAACGTGAGGAGCAGAAGCGTGTCGAGCGTACTGCTAAGCAACGTCTCCAGGCCCTTAAGGCTAACGATGAGGAGACGTACTTGAAACTTTTGGGACAGGCCAAAGATTCACGTATCTCTCACCTGCTCAAACAGACTGACAACTTCCTTAAACAGCTTGCCGCTTCGGTTAGAGAGCAGCAACGTAGCCTGGCCGAACGATACGGCGAGGATGATCAGTTCTACGATGAAGAAGAAGAGGAGGAAGAAGACGTTGGGTCCGGAACTGACGACGAAACTGGCGGAAGACGCAAGATTGATTACTATGCTGTCGCCCATAGAATTAAAGAAGCTGTCACCGAGCAGCCTACTATCCTTGTTGGTGGCACACTCAAGGAATATCAGATGAAGGGACTGCAATGGATGATCTCACTTTATAACAACAACCTCAATGGTATTCTGGCAGACGAGATGGGTCTTGGAAAGACCATTCAGACCATTAGTTTGATCACGTACATCATTGAAAAGAAGAAGAACAATGGCCCGTTCCTTGTCATTGTGCCTCTCAGTACTCTCACCAATTGGAATTTGGAATTCGAGAAATGGGCCCCGTCCGTCGCGAGAGTTGTCTATAAGGGCCCCCCGAACGCGCGTAAGCAGCAGCAGCAGCAGATTCGCTGGGGTAACTTCCAGGTTTTATTGACTACCTACGAATACATTATCAAGGATCGACCAATTTTGAGCAAGGTCAAGTGGAACCACATGATCGTCGATGAGGGCCACCGCATGAAAAACACGCAGTCAAAGCTGAGCAGCACTCTCTCACAGTACTACACCAGCCGGTATCGTTTGATTCTGACCGGTACTCCCTTGCAAAACAATTTGCCAGAATTGTGGGCACTTCTGAATTTCGTTCTGCCAAACATCTTCAAATCTGTGAAATCGTTCGATGAGTGGTTTAATACTCCATTCGCCAACACTGGAGGCCAGGATCGAATGGAGTTGTCCGAAGAAGAACAGTTGCTGGTCATCCGCCGCCTGCACAAGGTTCTTCGTCCCTTCTTGCTTAGACGTCTCAAGAAGGATGTTGAGAAAGATCTACCAGATAAACAAGAAAGGGTCATCAAGTGCCGTTTCTCTGCCTTGCAGGCCAAGCTCTACAAGCAGCTTGTCACGCATAACAAGATGGCTGTTAGCGATGGAAAGGGAGGCAAGACTGGCATGCGCGGTCTCAGCAACATGTTGATGCAGCTGAGGAAACTTTGCAACCATCCTTTCGTCTTTGAGCCTGTAGAAGATCAAATGAACCCTGGGCGCGGGACCAATGATCTACTTTGGCGTACCTCAGGTAAATTCGAACTACTGGACAGAATCCTGCCCAAGTTTCGGGCCACTGGTCACCGCGTCTTGATGTTCTTCCAGATGACTCAGATCATGAACATTATGGAGGATTTCTTGCGCCTTCGTGGAATGAAGTATCTCCGCCTTGACGGTTCCACTAAGTCTGACGACCGCTCCGATCTCCTGAAACTATTCAACGCAGAGAATTCGGAGTACTTCTGCTTCCTGCTCTCCACACGTGCGGGTGGTCTCGGTCTTAACCTTCAGTCTGCAGACACTGTCATCATATTCGATTCAGACTGGAACCCCCACCAAGATCTGCAAGCTCAAGATCGTGCGCATCGTATTGGTCAAAAGAATGAAGTTCGTATCCTTCGTTTGATTAGTTCCAATTCCGTGGAAGAGAAGATTCTTGAACGTGCACAGTTCAAGCTCGACATGGATGGCAAGGTCATTCAGGCAGGAAAGTTCGACAACAAGTCTACTAATGAAGAACGAGAAGCCTTACTGCGGACGCTCCTCGAAACTGCCGAGGCCGCTGATCAGATCAATGAACAGGAGGAAATGGATGATGATGATTTGAATGATATCATGGCACGATCTGATGACGAGCTGATTGTATTCCAGCGCCTCGACAAGGAGCGACCAACAATAGATCCTTACGGACCTGGTCACCCGCTTCCACGCTTGATGGGAGAGGATGAACTTCCAGACATTTATGTCTCTGAAGAGAACCCTGTTACGGATGAGGTCGAGGTTGAGATGGCTGGTCGTGGCGCACGTGAGCGCAAGGTTACTCGGTACGACGATGGTCTCACTGAGGAGCAATGGCTCATGGCTGTGGATGCCGACGATGACACAATTGAAGATGCCATCGCTAGAAAGGAGGCCAGAGTTGAGCGTCGTCGTGTCAACAAGGAACGACGTCAACGGAAGGTGGTTGGTGATTCTTCGCCTGAACCGTCTCGTGAAAGCTCTGAAACACCACAGCCTAAGAAACGCGGTCGCAGAGGTCCTGCGCCGAAACGCAAGGCAGAAGAGCTTGTGGAAGAGACTCCTCAGCCGAAGCGTAAGAGGGGTAGACAGGCTAAGCCTGTGGAGACCTTGAACCCAGAGGATCGTGCTACACTGCAACGCATACTCAACAATACATATCAAGCGTTGATGGACATGGAGCAAGAGTTACCAGCAGATTCTTCCGATAGCGAAGATGGCCCAGTGACCCGGTCTATAATTGAGCCATTCATGAAGCCACCCCCGAAGTCGCAATATCCCGACTACTACATGATCATCCAGAACCCGATTGCTATGGAAATGATTCGAAAGAAGATTAACCGTGACGAATACCAGAATTTGAAGGACTTCAGGAATGATATCCATCTCCTTTGTCAAAATGCTCGAACTTATAATGAAGATGGCAGCATCCTGTTCCAAGATGCCAATGATATCGAGGTAGGTCGCCGCTGTTGATAGGTTATATGAATGGACTAGTACTGACGTTGAGTAGGCAAAATGCCTGAGTGAACTGAAGAGAGAGACCGAGGGCTACCCGCAATTTGCCAACTATGACGACCAGGGAGCGCCTGCTGGTCATGATCAGTCTCTCGCGGCAACCCCCAGCGTCGAAACTCCTAGCGCTGTCACAACCCCCGGCCAACCGAAGCTAAAGCTTACATTCAACAGTGGTAACCGGGACAGTACAGGAGCCACCAACGGAACTCCACAGGCTGGAATAACTGAGGAGTGACCTTTGCATAAACCTTCGTCCTGGCTTGCTTGACTCTGTTCATTACGTACGGGGGAAATCCTTCCCCCCCCCCCCAACGCACTTTGCTGTTTTGATCTTTTCTTGACATGTACCCATCCGGCTTTGGACGGCGTTATGTGACTTGGTGATGGATGATGGTTGATGGCGCATGCTCTGCTCTATTGAAGACGAGCGTTTGATTTCATTTATGGTTTTCTTTTCGTTTATTCTTGCATTTAACCTCACCTTCTCCTGTGTATTCAGTGTCGATAAACTGATCCGATACAGATTTTGTCTTCTCACTTTTTGTTGTTGTCTATTACCTTTGCCTATCGTGCCGGGATGTTATCACCTTCCCATCACTAGAGAGACTTGACTTCCCCTTTCAAAATTTGTCTCAGATGATGATGAGAGGCTGTAATTGGATTCTTTTTTTTCACTTTTTTTTTTCTCACCTTTCATGTTTGTGTTTTTTTATCCTACCAGAGGCCATGGTAGTCGTACATCTACATATAGTTGTACTAATGGGCAATCGAATGTATCGTACTGGAATGAAAAGAGTGCGCGAAATGTAACAACGAAGTTGAATGCCATTATTAATACTGTGGTATGGACCAGCATGTGCAGCCCCGACCGACATCGGGAGTGACCAACCCTAAATTTTATAGTGGCACAGCCATGCATTAGTCCCAGTCTATAAACAGCTACATTGAAATCCGCCCCCCTTTCAACCTATGACTTCAGTTCCCGAGCCCTCCACCTGAACTGCTGTCCTCTCAACACTATGACAATGCAGAATAAAAAAACAAAAGCATCCAGGTCAAGAACAGGGTGCCAAACTTGCAAGTTGGTTTCTCTCAACCGAAGAGGGCATATGTCCGTTGCATCCACGTTCATACACCACTGACCGTACCCCAGGATACGGCATGTCAAGTGCGGCGAGGAGAAGCCGGAATGCCTCCATTGTAAGAACTCTGGCCGGAAATGTGACGGTTACAACATTTCTCCCCCGTACCAATTATCCACGAAAGTGGTACATCGTCAATCGCGACCCGCCTGGTCAATGGTGAGTCCTGACCATCGCCTGATCCTCCGTCCGGGAACCAGGGAAGAGCGACAGTATGTAGATTTGTTCTGCTCGCAGACGTCACAGGCTCTTTCTGGCTTCTTCAGCCCTCAGCTTTGGAATTTTCAACTACCACAGCTCAGCCAGTCCGAACCGACTATTAGACATGCCATTACTGCACTTAGTGCTGCCCATGAGCGGGCCATCTTGAATCCTTCAGCGGCAAACGCGGCAGTTACGGAGCAATTCGTACTCCAGCAGTACAATAAATCCATTCAATATCTAATGAAGCACCTCACCACACCAAAATCCCAGTCGGTTGACTTGTTGCTGATCACTTGTGGTCTATTTGTATGCCTAGAAATTGTGCGGGGGAACAATAAACAGGCGTTGAACCACCTAGCAGCAGGGGCGACCATTCTCCATAAACGGGGGCATTTTGCCAATGCAACTCCCCAGTCCAGGGATATTGACAGGGAACTATCCCACTTATTCTTTCGGTTAAATATGCAGCTGTCTCTCTTTGGGCGGCCATTAGCCCCGCTGACCATTGGCCATAAAGGCACACTGCCACCTTCCACAGAGGGAAACATCTCGTTCACCACCATTGAAGAAGCCAGACTCTGCCTGGACGGACTAATGAATAAAACCTTGAGATTCGTGCGTCTAAGTCTTCAAAACCCAACACCAAGTGCCATTACAAGAATGCAACAGAGACAGAAACAGCAAGATATAAAGGAGGAGTTCGATGCTTGGACGATGGCACTAAACAAGATGATGGCGCGGAAGGGGAACTCCAAAACCTTGGATAGGCGTGGCCCCCTTACACTCCAACTCCATCATCGAGTCTCATTGATATGGCTGCGAGCTTGTTTCGCAACAGATCAGATGGTCTTCGACAACTTCCGCTCAGATTTCGAAGCAATCACCCGTCTTGCGGAGGAAGTAGTTCGCCTGGGCCCTGATCAGGAAAAGCCCTCTCCCGCGAATGGATTTTTCCTTGAATCTGGGATTACCGCCCCATTGTGGTTCACAGCGGTGAAGTGTCGTGATCCCATCATTCGACGGAAAGCCATACAGATTTTATCAGATTATCGTAGAAGGGAGGGGATGTGGGACATGGGGATCTTTTTCAAAGTAGCCGAGTTGGTCCTGGAATCAGAAGAGGCCGAGCTATCCTCTTTGCCCATTGAGAAAAGAATACCTGAAGACCGGCAACGCGTATACGATCCGATACTGCCAGAGGAGATTGTGGCGAGCCCGTGTCAGGTTATACTACTGTCGAAACCCCATGGGGTGGACGGAGGTTGGCACAAACGGACCACATACATTAGTTGGGAGTCATGAAAAGGGCCAGTCCTGCTTGACAAGAGGCGAACAAACCAGACGCAACACGATGCGCTTAGTGTTAAATACCGAGCACTGCTGGCTCATTATACCAAGCACCAAGTAAGCACCACCGAGTCGTAGGGTTGTGGTAGGAGAAGCGGTAAGACCATCTACCTGCAATGCTTGCATACTTCGTTATCGAGTTGCGGACGCCAATTCGATCACAGATCCTCAGTTGGTTGGCGACTATGTATAGTTCGCTCTTCATATCCTTCCTACCCTGCAGGTGACTGCCCGACCAGTCCTTGACGATCCACAATTCACTGCAGCCAAAGATAGATTTCATATACGCTTCACTAAGGATATTCTCTTTGTCATTGGATCCTAAGACCCAGTGCTTAAAGATTATATGATCTCACTGGCTCTCCAGATATTCCCAGTTGAAAATCCGACCTCATTATTCCAGTTCTACCATACTTCACCATTGAATACAAAAAGCTATGGCCAGTATAAGAATAGCCGATGAATATACCATGTTCTGTACCAGCGATATCCTGCCTTCCGGTTCATCATTCCATCCATGGGACAGAAACCGTACGTATCTAAGTAACATCCAATACTGCCGACATCAGATCTGCACAAGGAAACTCCAGAAGCTCTCGCTGCGGTCATCTGGTTCTTCAGCACAACGTAAACCGATCACTTGTAAGTGGCGGTCGCATCTGTTCGTCCGAAAGTAAGGATATAACTGCCGTTGGTCGTACGGAGTTCAACAACACCCCTTTCCCTCTGTTTTTGACAAAATAACCACTGAAATCTACCTCTCATACTTCAGCCCTAGCTTATCCATGGGTGTGGCTTTGCTCCCTGATGAGCAAGTTCAACAGCTCCGTTATTATTATCACACACGACGACATAGGCCTGAAAGTTGTGCGATAGCTCATTGCAGCTTGCGGTCTGACGGAGTCGACCGATGCTCGCATTTGTTTGCTTCCTACAGAACTATAGACTTTAAAGCGGATTTCTTTCCGTGCCATTATTCCGAGTTCTCACACAGGGATCCTCGCGAGGAAATGGACCCTTTAGCCAGTCATGTGCGTGTGTGCGTGTGTGTGACTCGAATGGCCGGTAGATGGCATTTACAGGAGCCTTGGTCTGGACTTTGTGAAGTCAGTGATACAGACACAGTGGCCACCGTGTCTTTCTGGGTGTCTCTTCTCAGAGTTTGAGTTTACGCTCGATGAATGTTAGGAGATTTGAGTTCCTTGAAATATGCTTGCTGATGGGCGTGCGCTTCCATCCTGAAAAGGTCGTGTATACGCTCCACCCATAAACCAGTGCAGCTGAAGAACGGCACCAGGAAAGCACAGCAATAGTTCAAAGTCATGCGGAGGAGAAACTGGAACATTCTACCTGTTTACGACTCCGTTAGGGCTTTTTGTAATGCTTATCTCGCGCCGAAGGCAACAGCCTGAGGCTGTCGGTATTAGTCATCGCAAATGTACAGTGTGACAAGACAATACAATACAGGTACAGTACCGAGGTGTAATACCAACACGATGAGAAGATTGCTTCTGAGAAGCCCTTTACGATGCAGGTGCAAATGTGCAGTTAAGGCATTAGCAGAACCTTACTTGTGCACGATTGCTAAAATCGAGGAGCCTAGATGAAACCCTAGTGGCTTAGCCTGGTCACGTCATTCGTGTATCGGAAGCAATCCTCCAGTTTTCTCAACGTCATGACCAATCACGTGACACAACGCACCGTCGTCATGGCGGTCATTGCGCTCCGTAACCGCCAGATCGTCCTTTCGCAGTCTCACTTCCTCAGCTTGATAACGACCCGTCTTTTCTCTTCTTCAACCTTTCCGTCAGCCTCCATCCCACCCCGAGAGTAAGCCTCAATCGACGAACCAGTCCAACCCTTTCAAACCAAGCAAAAATGGCTACCTTCCAGGATCGTGCCCAGCACGCTATTGCTCAGCTTGACAAGGAGGTGAGTCCTTGTTTGTGCGTGTTGATATTCGGATGAGAGAAATGCGTTGGCATTGATTGCTTGTGTCGGGAGTCAACGATGACTTTGTGTTGATATTTTTGACTGGAGACTTCTTCGACTAAATATATCTGGTGGAACTGGCGGGAATTGACCATTACTTGTTTTCATATTTTATTTTATTTTTTTCTTTTGTATTCGGATCGAGGAAGGCTAATCAAAACATTTCTTGTGTGTGTGTGTTTCCACAGCTCTCCAAGTACCCTGTCCTCAACAACCTTGAGCGTCAGACCTCCGTCCCCAAGGTCTACGTGATCCTGGGCCTGGTCGGTGTTTACACCTTCCTGGTTTTCTTCAACATCGCCGGTGAATTCCTTGTTAACCTGGCTGGCTTCATCATCCCTGGCTACTACTCTCTCAACGCATTGTTCACCGCTGGCAAGGCCGATGACACACAGGTACGTTTTTTACTCCTCACCCGACCCTAGACGCTGATCGAATATGCTGACTCTTTCGTGATTCCCGTAGTGGTTGACGGTATGTTCTTGTGATCTTGTTCTCCCTGTGATCTATACCGCTTTGTACCTAGGCCATGTCCCGAGCACGTGACAGGTTTCCCTCTATGAATCGGTGTGACTGATTTGACATGTGAAACTGATAGTACTGGGTTGTTTACGCCTTCTTCACCGTCATTGAGAGTGCTGTCTATGCTCCTTACTGGTTCCGTAAGTAGTACCCTTTTGTTGTTCTTCGGTTACGGTGGCTTTCGCAACTGTTGGGAACAATGTGCTGATCTGCGATTTAACTAGCCTTCTACTACATCTTCAAGTTCGGCCTCGTTCTCTGGATGGCTCTCCCCCAGACCAAGTAAGCTTCCTTATTATGATTTTCTTCTATGAACACGATTATGAACATGGGCTGACCCAACTTTCCAGCGGTGCCCAAGTCGTCTTCCACTCTTTCATTCAGCCCGTCTTTGGCCGCTTCTTCGCTGGCGGAAACACCTCGGCCAACCTCCGCGCCCAGGCTGATGCTGCTACCAAGGCCCAGTAAACTGACCGTGCAAGGTGATACGGCATTCGCGGCGTGTTCTGCGTTGCCATGAGCCAGGTCGGTCTCGGTGTTTTGGTACTTGAAAATAAAGAAACCAGTGAAGATTCGCTGGCAAGGAAAAGTGTCAGGTGAGAAGGCACTTCGACCTGAGTCAGACGGTTTTGGGTCATTCTAGCTGTCTTGGTATTTTGTCATGATTAGTAGAATTGCTTGCTTTGTTTGGCGTGGTAGGTGAGACGCGGGGTACCATGCCCTCTTTCCACGAACGCGGGTATAGTTGTATTTGATGCGATGATGCCACTTTGTTAATCTGAAGCACCATTTATATTTGTTTCAACACTGGGTCCTTCCCCGCAAGATGTGTTAGCCTCCGTGCTTGTGGAATCTCGAACAGTAAACCGATGAGCCAGTGGAACGTAATAATACACGGGAAGACAGGCTGTAACAAACTCCAAGTGTCGGAGCATTGAATTAGCATCGAGCCGTTACTCCACAACTCCAGATGTACAGATACGGATGCAAGCTGTGTGTATCTTTGAGAAGAGAGGAAAAGAGAATAGAGAAGAAAGCGGGCACTGCGACCCAGCGAAACCTTGCAGATGTAATGGTTTCTTAATTCAGTATAGTCCAAACCGATTCTGCCAGCCATCTGACCGAGGGTTTAGGACAATCCTGTAAGGGAATGGGTTGGAGTCACTTGTTGTGATGGGCGGGATATGATCCTTTTCTCGGTTCACTACGGCGAGAATCTTCAAGGCTGCTTTTTGAAGCATATTCTCCATCGCCTTGCGCACCTTGGCGCGTTCTGCATGAGCAGTCAGCACTGTCATGCGTTCGTATAAGTTGCAGAGCGCATGTATGGGCCGATCTAAAGGTGGCAAATGCATACCTGATTCTGTCCGCGGAGTGGCAATCGTCACATCCAGATTCCACACCTCCCAACATACCTCTTCCTCGCCTTTTCCAGCAAGCCCACCGAACCAGATTCCGGAGCGCCTGCGCTTCTTCTCGTAAAATTCCACTGCGATCCGACCGCGCACACCGCCGCCCCCTTCATGGGCGCTAGCAGCTGATGAGGAGTGCTGGCGGACTAGAGCGCTGATGCGCGACTCAATAAGAGTCTCAAGGTCTTCATCGTTGATAGCGGGGAGAGTAAAGTCTAGGACATCAAAGGTAGTCGGTCGGATAGAGGGAAAGTAACGGTGAAAGAAGATTAGGTTGAGAACGCCTGAACGAGAAGATGTGTCAGTCACATATATCAAGAAGATTTATTAACGAACAGCAGGCTAGATCTAAGAAATGTTTAAAGGAGGTTAATATACCTTTTAAGACGTCCCGGACGGTGGTGGTGTCTGCAAAGATCTCCAGGAAGTACTCCGGAGGGGTTTTGCGGGGCTCCATAACGTAACGCGTTCGTGTTGGGGATGCGAGAGATGGATCTGAAACGAACGGTGGGGATCCCGTACTCCTGCTCTATGGGTTGATGATAGCGAGTATTCGATGACGACCCAGCTGCCACCACGAGCTGGGCCGTGAACACGGAGCGATGTGAGCACTTTCTCACAGGGGTTCGAGCAGTCGAGGGGTGGCGCGGAGAAGATGATGTCGGATGCTGAGGGCGTAAAGACGGGAGAGTTGCTGTCTAGATTGGCATGGGCTGTATGAAAATACTTGACTGTGATGTTCACGGAGGATGCATGGTTCTCTAGGGGTTTTTCAGGCGTGTCAACCAGCAGAGGAATAGGACATGAGTATGTAGACAGAAGAAGAGTTGAGGAGAATGAACCCGTGGATCGGGAGTGAGACGGTGACCATTCCGGCGGAGGTGTTGCCCCTCGCCGATAGTAACGGAAAGATAACGGTGCCTTAACTCTTTTGGAGTACCTGAGTGTGACGGCCAGAGTCAAGGTGACCCTAACCTACAATGAACTTGTTTGCAAGAAAAGGTAGATAATACAATAAAAGTACATGAATTTTCTCCGAAATAATAGATCATATAAATTTATCTATTCATATATATCATGTTATATTGACGCTTTATCTAAAGGAAAAACAAGATTCTTCTCCAGTTTAATACGTCCCCAACAATCATTGCACCACCCCATGATTTCACGTTGCTATCGAACTTTAGCCGAGGCCGCGCCAGACGGTTGGCCATGCTTTTATCATTCCCCGACCGTCTCTCTCGGTTGTTGTCATTGATGATCCCTCTTCGCCTCCTCTCCCCTTTTATATTCTCCGACATTAGCTTGCCTCTGCTTTGCTATTTTCCTCTTCGTACCTTATGATGAGCTGAATTGACTTAAATCCTTGAGAGAGATTATCCGCTTACCTCCGACAGCTCCACCATGATCGGTGCTACTAGGCGCTGGTTCCGGCGCAATCGCAAAGGTCTCGCGATCGGGGCTGGCGTGATCGGAGCCGGTTACCTCGCAGGACAATATGTGCTCTCCAAAATTTCAGAAGCACGGGAACGTATGAGCAGTGACCGGATCGCTCGGGAGAAGTGAGTAACCTCCCTTTGCTTGTCGGGTGTGTTCGTATGCACGGAGACGGTAATTGACGTATCATTCTCGAATGTTGCAACCTTCAGTTTACGGCGACGTTTCGAACAAAACCAAACCGATTGCACCTATACCGTTCTTGCTCTCTTACCGACTGCTGCAGAAGATATTGTCGACGCTCTTCCTGTCGAGGAATTGACGAAGGAGCTCCAACGAAAGCGAGCAGAGAGGTTAGCTCGGCTCAGTGCCGGGGAAGGGACCGGATCAGATCTAAGCTCTGTATCCCCCAGCTTACCGGAGGATGACCGTCGGAGCCTATCCAGTTTTCAGAGTGATGGATTCGTCCGCACAAGCCAAATGGGAGAACCTTCCGTTGAGGGCGATGGCGAGGCGCGACCGAAACGGAATAAGACACAGCTTTGGAACGAGGTCAAAATCACCTGTAAGCCATCATCCCAAATCATATTATCGCCTGGAACCCGGAACTTATTGGCTTGTCACAGCTATCACCAGGTCCTTCACTCTAGTCTATACCCTTTCTCTTTTGACACTCTTTACGCGAATCCAACTTAACCTACTCGGCCGTCGGAATTATCTTTCCAGCGTAATCTCCATGGCAACACCTCCTGCCAATGAATCGACGATCAGACTAGAGGACCATGACGATGATGACCTTACACAGACTTTGGGAAATGATTTTGAGACCAATCGTCGCTATCTTGCCTTTAGTTGGTGGTTGCTTCACCGAGGCTGGAAGCAATTAATGAACGAGGTACAGACTGCCGTTACAGAGGTCTTTGGCCCCCTGAACCCTCGGGAGGATGTGTCGTTGGCGAGGCTGTCTGAGCTATTCCTGGAAGTCCGGAAGAGAGTGGAGGGACATACTGAGGAGGAGAGAAAGCACGTTCCTCCCCCGCCCCAAAGCCGACCGAACTTTTTGCTAACTGTTGCTATAGACACAGGAAGTGGCTGTCTTATTTGCTCCCCCCTTGCGAAGGGGAGGATAAATTGCTAGAGGAGTCCGGTGTCCTTGGAGTGACGGAGCTCGCCAACTCCCAGACTGCAACTACGTTGCGACACCTATTGGATGAGACGGCCGACCTGATCGAATCACCAACTTTTACGCGTGTCTTGATGCTTCTGAATAATGAATGCTTCCAGACATTGATCCAGCAATGCACCGCCGATGCTTTCAAGTCGACTTCACAACCTTCAACGAGCGTTCCCCAATCATTTACTTCAGTTGCCACGGTTGTCCCGGGAGCTGATAGCTCCGAGCCGAAGGCAAAGTTAGCTAACGTTCTGGCGGTTTTAGCCCGGCAGGCACACGTGATTGGTAATGGTACAAACCCGCCAAATATTTACCTAACTGCGATGGACCAAGGTGTGCGAGAGTTAGAAGCCTTCGCTGCTGTAGTGTATAGCTCTAACTTCGATTTTGAGCTGGTTGGGTCCGGAACGAAAATTGAGTCTCCAGGAGATGAGACACCTGGTTCCGACACGGTGTTGATCGAGAAAGAGGATTATGACGAACTTAACCGCAGTCAGATTCAACAACCGTCGACCACAGGGCCCGGTGCGAATTCGGCATTTGAGCATGCGTGGGGAAAGGCAGTGGAAGAGCAGCCGTCGACTGCTACGTAACCAGGCATTATCTATCCGCAGTGCTCCTTCTCAGCCTGGGATAATGCTGAGTGGATGTAGTTCTTGTATGATATTTTGTGCATTTCCATGAAAGCTATGCTTTTTATGGCGGAGGTGTTCACCCCCGGTAATGGTTTTTAGAGATGTTTCCTCTCAACTTCAGTGGCACCCACGTTATGGTAGAATAGGCATGTCAAGTATACAAATGACTTATATATGACTCTATTGTTTGGAGTAGGGAACACCCTCTCGAACTACAGACTTCCTGCGAGCTGAAGCAGACGATATCAAGGAAAGCAAGATCATTCCTCTCTATAGGTATGGGTAGTAACAGGATGGCGGAATTACAGCCGCGAGAGTTCAAACTAATACACGGCAACAAAGGCCACAGTAGCATTGAGGCTTTCCCTCGGTAATATACGGGTTACTGCGGAGATACCTAGTTAATATTCTAGTTTTAAACTTCGTATTATTCCAATAAATGCCGAACACTCACTCCACTGATGTTCTAGTCCCTTTGATTATGATGCTAGTTAGTGAACTAGTGTGGGGGAGGTCGCTTATGTAACTGTCTCCAGCGGACCTTTAAATTGCGGGGAAAGCAGCTTCGGGTCTAGCGTGGCAATAGGGGGTGATATTGGGGTTAGTTTCATCGATTATCACGGGTGAAAACGTATACCATCGAGGAAGAAAGAAGGATAGTCTTAGAGTATTTCGTACCATGTAGTTGACATGCATATTCGATACAGGCCGAGACCGGGGGTCATATCATGGATTGAGTTAAAGCTCCCCGGCTGCAAGGACCTATCCAGCCAATCTCAATTGACCATGCTTACTCGGGCTTTCAAGGTAGTAGTACTAGTAGTTAGGTACTCATGATCACCGAGTGACTCGTACTCATAATCCTTCCGAGCCCAAGACGCAGTATTATGCATCGACCGGCTTTGATTAGTCTATCGGCTATGATCAGGACCAAATGATTTGACCGAAACTTCCTCGATCTCTTCCCTTTCATCTTTTTGTTTCTTTCCTCTTCTTATATTCTCAATCCTTTCTCCTGCATCTCAATTAGTCCCTGGATACCACGAGTATCCCTTGATCCACATTTGCCAGCCCGCTCTATCCCCCCCGCGGTAAGCGAGAACAACAGTATTCTATCCATTCTTCCCTGGGGAAACCGGCCAGGAGAGAGTATTTACAAGGAGCGGTTACTCAAGAATACTTGAAAGACATACATCATGCGGTTCAACGGTATGGAGAGCAAAGCTGCTTGCCTGACCATGAGCATGATGCTGACTTACGAATCGCGCGACCAGAGCAACTCACTCCTCAAGATGACAAGATCGAAGGCCATGTCAATGCCCTACCGACTGATCTTCCCCAGCTGAGGAATACTACGGAGCGCAAGCTTATGGCTAAAATAGATTGGCACCTTATGCCTTGTCTATGTGTCATGTATCTGCTCGCATTCTTGGATCGGTATGAGCCTGATTGGCTTCCCCCATGAACACAACTGTATAGCGACCTTACTTTAACATTTGCGAACAGCGTGAATATCAGTAACGCGGCAGTCCTCGGTCTACAAGAAGACTTGAATATAGTCAACGGGACGAAATACAATACTGCACTGACCATATTCTTCGTTCCATATGTCATTTTCGAAATCCCATCCAATATCTTGCTTAAGAAGCTGAGACCCCATGTATGGTGTAGGTATTCTTGACATACTGTAGATAGGAAGTATGGACTAAAATGCTGGTGGCTACTTTAGTGACGGGATGTATGTTTTTATTCGGTCTGGTTACGATCTGTCAAGGCCTAGTCTCTAATTGGGGTGGGCTGATGACGACTCGGTGGTTTTTGGGTGAGTCGACGACCCTCTGGTCAGTGTAGCACTTGTCAACTGACAGATCCTATCCAGGAATGTTTGAGACAGGCATGTTCCCTGGTTGTACGTTCTGCCCTTTCCCTATTTCCAACTTGATATAACGATGGCCAACCGTCGTATGCAGGTTTCTATCTCTTGGGAATGTGGTACAAACGGAGCGAGGCACAGAAGAGGTTCAGTTTCTTCTTCAGCTCGACCACACTTGCGGGCGCCTTCGGTGGCTTGCTGGCTAGCGGGCTTGGAAAGATGGATGGAATTCGTGGCTACCGAGGCTGGCGCTGGGTCTTTATAATTGAAGGCCTGATTACTTGTGTCGTCTCGCTTGCCTGGTTCTTTGTTATTCCTGACTTCCCTGAGGAGGTCAAATGGCTCACCGATGAAGAGCGCGAATTCCTGAAGGCAAAACTAGCCAAAGACTCGGGGAGCGCCGGTCATGATGCTAAGATAGGTTGGCGCGAAGTATTGGAGGTCTTCAAAGACTGTGAGTGACAGTACGAGCATGCCAAACTCTTTGCGGTGCTCATTGTGTATTCCAGACAAGATATTCATCGGTGGCTTGATGTACTTCGGTCAGGTTGTCACAGCATATGGTAGGGCGGATGCAGATGCTTCTAAGGTGTATTTCAACTGGTGAAGAGCACGGTTGCTAACAACGCGCAGGATATGCCTACTTTGCGCCAACCATTATCAAAAGTTATGGCTATGATGGTACGTCTGCCTGCTATTGATGTTCACCTTGCAGTCTACTAAGCCTTATTTCTAGCAATCAAGACTCAGCTGTATTCAATCCCACCATGGGCAGCCGCTTGGGGATTTTCCATGTTGGTGGCCATTCTCTCTGACAAAACCAGACATCGCTTTGCCTTTACTATAGTGCCCATGCTAATTGCCATGGCTGGCTTTGGAATCCTGTTGAATGTACACGGACAGGCCCATCGAAATGTTCAATATGGCGCCTTATTCATGGTTACAAGTGGATGTTACAGTGCAATGCCGGTCATTGTTTGCTGGTTCGCGATGAACCTAGCAGGCCATCGTAGGCGAAGTGTGGGAACGGCCTGGCAAATTGGATTTGGAAATAGTGAGTGAAACTGGGTGACTTAATCTCGTTCATCGTGGCTAACATGGCGACAGTTGGTGGTATTATATCGACGTATGCCTTCTTGAAAAAAGATGCACCAGAATACCGGCCAGGATATATCATCAGCGTATCGTTCCTTAGCTTTTCGGCGGCCTGTTGTATGGTCTACTTTGCGGCTGTCTGGTATGATAACCGGCGCCGCGATCAGGCTATAGCCGATGGCACGGCTATACCCAGTGACGAAGATCAAGAGCTACTGGGCGATATGGCGTTAAACTATCGCTATAACTATTAGTGTTGTTCTTTGGTAGTTGAATTTACTAGAAGAGATGTCGAGATGCCTCTATAGTGATTGGCAGGATCGATGCAAGGGTACGTCAGGCACATAAACAACAGAGAAACATAAGTCAATGGTAAATATGTGATATTCTTCTGTTCTCTTCGCAGAACAATGAAAATTTTTTCATAATTTTACCACCACAGATCACATTTGAAAGTGGATATGCAACAGAGAGAAAATGAAATTCCATAGATAGATGACATAATGCCCTCTCGGTAAGCCGATGCCCAGCCAATCAACGGCGGGACAGCACTAGCGAACCCTTAGCGTCTCAGGATGCTGAGTCAGCCACGACGCACACAAGAAGCTCGGCCGGCCGCTGCTCTCCGTCTTTCTTTCAACCATCTCCTCATCCTCGCAGAAGTGTGAGTATACAGCCCAGGCTGGCACCTGGTTGCCTCTTTCCTTGAATATCAACTAACCCTTCACAGTCTCGAACCCTCTACGAAGATGAGAGCTAAGTGGAGAAAGAAGCGCGTTCGTCGTTTGAAGCGTAAGCGCAGAAAGATGCGTGCTCGCAGGTGAGTTGTCTCCGAACTACAAGACCAGACCTACCGGACAATTGGACTAACAATGTGCGCAGCAAATAAATGACTCGCCCAATCCATCTCAGTTCTCCATGCGGTGCTCAAGTTGAATGCTGAACATGACAAAAGTCGACGACGTCACGATGATGATTCCCTGTTATGATCGTTTCGTGGTTTAGCCACTCCAACGGGACCTGGCTGGTCTACTATTCTCTATATCCTTTCGAATCCGGAGTCCGTCATTCAACGAAAATATACATCCAATCTCTCGGGCTCATTCAACGGTTTCGAATCATGACCAGACAGGGATGCGCACTGCGTATCCTTCGTCTCGGAGGGCGAATGTGTTTGGTGGGGGTTGGAGGGGTCGTGGAAGAAGTTTATGGTCACGTTTCTCATGTATCATTTGTTTTTACTCCACTGACCCTTTGGGTTCCTTATGGGATCTGGTCAATTGCTCTTCTTAGGGCTTGTGCCGTAGCCTACAGTTGCTGCTCAAGCTCTGAGCCATGGAGAGGTCCTCGAGGATTTATCACAAATTAAAAAGTTTGCAATGAAAGCAATGACTGAAAACCACCTGGATTCTTCAAGATGAAGTATTTGCGTAGATCTTTTTGCGATTCATCCTTATATAGTAAATTCTTGATACGTAAATCGCACTTTATCAGTGGATTTGTGCGTTTGATATGATCCAATGCTTTCTTCTCCGCCTTGAGTGCGGAGACCGATTCTGCCACTAGTTCCCGCCCAGCAATTTTTTTTTTTACTTGAGCTTCTTGATCTATAATTGATTGAGTCTTACGAGGCTGTTCTCCACGCCAAGTTGGATTCATTCACCCCCCCTGCAGGCTCACTTGTGAATAAATCGCTATGCCTTCCGACAAGGTGGAAAAGAAGCGCAAGCGCGCTTCAAACGGCCACGAACGGCCGAGTAAGAAGCCCGCTCTCGAATTTCAAGATCTGCCTCCTCTCGCGGCCAGCGTGGTCAACGACGATAGTGAATTGGCGCCAGTGATCAGTATGTGCTCTTTAACTGCCGGACTACACTCTCAAGCAGGGTATACGGAAGATTAATCGCCGATATAGTAACTACCCCTGGTGTGAACGCACCTCAAAACCTTCATTTAAAACCATATCTCAAGGACCGAGCAGATGGCTCTCAATCAGGTCGCTCCACACGAAACAAGGGCATTGTCTCGTCTGAACTACTTCTACAGACTTCGGAACATCCGAAGATGGATTTCGTGGGCCGCGAGGCCGAAGATGACGCCGATTCGCAGTTGAAGCATTACATCGCCGTTGTGGACCCCGAAAAGAAAAGCTGGCAATTTGTTGAGGTGCGGAAGGTGACTCTTCGCGGGGCAGTGAGGAGAACAAAGGCTGCTGCAGATGAAGAGGAGGAGGAAGTTGAGAGTGAAAACGAGGAGATGGTAAGTTCTTGTTTCTCTGACCGACGGGGCATAGGTTACTGACAAACTCCAACAGAAAACGATGCGCGCCCAACGCACAGAACTCACCAATACATTCGGTACCAAGCAATCTCGCAAGGCAGCGCAGTCCATGGCCGAAAATGCCCAACTGTCCAACGCCCCCGCCGGTGCTGCCTCCGCCGCGGAATCTGCTATTCTTTCGTCCATGCCCCTCGACTCCGCCACCGACATTGCTACGAAGACCGCTGCGGTGCAAGCGCAGGTTCAAGCCAACAAACCCTTGCCTCAAGCCAATCTGGCGGCATCCCATCCTTCCGATGTGTACCCGATAGATGTGCTTGTTCCGGGGGGTCTGTCCACCCTCCAGCAGCTCCCGGGCATGAACGAATGGCAGGAGACCGTGAACTCCGGAGAAGCCGTGGCCACCACCTCTCGATATGTCTCTCGCCGGGTGGAGGCAGTCGTCAACTCAACCAATGCCACCCAGCTCCAAGTCCTGCGTTTTATGTTCCTCCTCCTCGAGCTTGCCCGCGCCCTCCGTTCGGGCAAGGACTCCAAATCGTCCGGGCCAGGTAGCAAACGTCTTCCATCTCGCGATGAACTTCGCCGCATCCTCTCCTCCCCCACTGGCGCCAAAACCGACTCGGCCGAAACCCTCCCAGATCCCGTTATCGACGCCATCCGCCGCAAATTCGCCCCACAGGGCTCCCACCTCACCAAGAACGATATCACCTTCCTGCACACCACCATATGCGCCCTATCGCTGCACATTCCACCTCAGCCAGCCAAAGACGGCGGCTCCAGCTCTCAAGGTGGAAACGCCCCTAACGAGCTGGCAACGGACCCGTCCGATCTGCGCGACGATCTGCGTCTGGATAACACGGTCATCACGCAATATTTCCGCGAGTTGGGCTGTCGCATCGACAAGCCACGCGAGACGGAATTCGCCAAATGGGGTATCAAGGGCGGTAAGGCCGAAGCCAACGCTAGACGTGTGGCTAGATTGAGGGTCCCCGTCGAGTTCCCCAAGGTTAGCCGTGGTGGAAAGAGGTAATCTAATGGCCATTTCCTCTTTCTGTTCTATTGAACAAAACACAAAAGAATCTATTTGCGTTGAGCTTGTCCATGATGCGATTGGCGTTCGGTTTCAGGTTGTACTATATGTACATACTATTTTGTGGATAAATATCAAATTACGAACTATCCAAAGGTACCTCTTCTACCTACTCTATCAGTCGATTGGTGTTTGCGTATAGCTACCGTAGATTATTTCCCTGTAGAAAGCCATGCGCACCCTAACATAATCCAAAGTCCCTTGGGTCGATAAAGCAAGAAGATGGAAACGGCAAAAGAGAAATGAAACGATAGAATTAAACGCCCTCTAGAAGCAAATATATAATCAACTGCTAATCCAACCCTAATCTAAACAATGTGATCTTGCCCAACCAGTGAAAAAGTCGGCGGAATACGTGGAAATATTTTTTTTTTGTTTCTTTCTATATATATATCTGCTTATGTACACATCCCTTGTCCAATGCTGAGCTATCCAAAGGTCTATATTGACAGCGGATTCTACAGATGTTACCCGCCCTTACCATGGTTCTACCCCATCTACTACACTATATGAAACCCTTGTTATAATTGACCAAATTCAGTAGGTACCAACCCCATGCTTCCTTTTCAAATGATGAGGAGCGTACCTAGTTACTAGACATATCTGATTGGTATGTGTCTTGTTAATTCGCTAACGACATATATCGACTCGAACATCGACGAAATGATATTCGAAGTTTCTATCTAACATCCTACGCTATAAATGAGTATACATACAAACCAAGTATTAATTTATGCTATTAAAGCCAATGATATGGTCTAGGTAATATGGAAAAAAAAAAAAAAAAAGGCTAGAATATGGGGAGGTCTTGGTAAAGTAGATGAATCTAGATTTCTATCTGCCCATGGAAACGTGACTTGTACTAAATTCTCGATAAGATATGCTTAAAATAGCAAGAATGATACGTTCTGCTTGAAGGTATCTACCCAGGCGATGAGTTGGACATGATATCTTGTGCTGATGTCTCTATTTCAATATATGTCTTGCCGGGATCATGGTCTTAGATTATCGTCAAGGGTATCTGGAGGTTGGAATCAATTGATGCGACCCTGAGATTCGGATATTGATTGGAATAGGTGAACTATAGCGCTGCGTTCAGGGCCCCTTTTGTTAATACTACGAAATCCCCGAAGATTGGCTGACTAACTGTATCAACTACAATAACGGGGCGGTGTATATGAAGCCCTGCGGTTACGGATGAGATGAAGTGGCATAGGGGATAGACGGCATGTCAGATTTCATTTCGAACCAAGACACTCGGTAACGACAGACCGGTTCTAACTAACAGTCCAAATACCAATTACGTCCAGCCATATTGCGCACTGCGGCAAACAAGGGGCAAAGGAGTGGATGTGGAATTTATAACATAGTGTGTGTGTGTATATAGGATTCCACGACGATTTCAGCTCACATGCGGGCAGCCACTTCAGGCAGCCACACCCACCGGGATCGACGAAGCGGCGGCCGCGGCAGGACGGGTGGCCTGCATGGGGGCCTCGGCAAACTCGCGTTCCACAGCAGCTTCAATGGCTTCGTTTTCCTTCAGCCCCAGCTGCACGTCATTCCAAATCGGCTGGTTCTCAGCCTCGGCGCCCTCGACACCCACGCCGACGAAACCACCTTGCGCTTCCCAATCGCTGGTGCGTTTGATGCCCAGTTCGTTCCAGACGGTTTGGACGGCTTGCACCAGGTGGTCACGGTGCTGCTTGATGTGCCCAGGGGTGGGCGTGATACGGAGACGCTCTTCACCCCGAGGCACGGTTGGGTAATTAATGGCTTGTACGTAGATTCCATGCTCCTCCAGAAGCTTGTCCGACGCCTTCTTAGCAACCTCGGCATCTCCAACGAGGAGCGGAATGATGTGAGAGGGGTTTGGAATCACAG